GAAAAACATTGGATTGGTTAAAGCAGCCATGAGGGACCACTTCAGGAAATTTGAGGCAAGTAACCAAGAATATGGAACAAAATAAGCTTGTGGCATCATAATTTGTCTTATGGCAAAACTCGATGCATTAAAACAGAAAATAGCTAACTCTGGTTGCCTTGTTCATGTCTTTTGTTCTTGGTACGTACCTTGACCTTGCTTGCCTCATATGTTGGAACCAAGTAAGGTAAGCAATTACTTGGTCCACAGGAGACTTACTGGCTTCTTCCTGCTTTCCCCCCCCCCCCCCAAGAAAATGCAGTACATTTTGCATGGTCTGCTGGCAGACAGTCATCTGACTCACCCCCCAAATATAAATGTCAATCATGCCCACCAACTTCGAGATTAAAATGCGAAACAAGTAAGAGCTGTGCACGACAAACATCTCCAGAGGACAGAATTTCGTCATCAAACACTTCTGTATTAGCTGCGTCAGGTCTGTCCTAAGGCTCAGTATGGCACCCCTGCCTTGCCTTAATAGCCTTGCCAGGTAGCCTGGTAAATCAGACACCCGAAAGGCTTGTATTTATCATTATTGAGCACCGTCATGAACCAAGAAAACGGTTAACCGAAGGTTTAAGAGGGCAAAAATTGCGGTAAAAATAAGTTCCGTGCTTCAAATTGTCTCCCTCATTCCCTGCGAATTGTTCACGCTTGGGTGCATATCAAACATGTTTGGGCGGCTGGCGAATTAATCCAATTTATGCATGAAATACGTACAAGTTTGCAGTTGGAGCACCTTGCAGAGAAATTGGTTAACATTTTAAGCGGCAGATGGTATCTTTTAAGACAATCGAAAAGGAGGGAAGAATAAAGTGGTATTACACTGGGATGATACCAAGAAAAACAAAAGTAGTTAAATATAAAGACCGATACTTTTCTCGCAAAATTTTGTACTCAGTTGATTTGACTTAAAATCTGTTAATGGAAGTGCTCACGTGGTGATATCCATCTTGTAAGTTTAAATTAGAAGACATTTCTTGAACTTTTCACTCGTGCATTTCCGCAGTGATGCAATTCAGTGGTCAAGTTTCCTCGGGAAAAAAGAAATACGTGCAGTAAAATTCTCTACCAGGCCTTGCTGGTGTTCGCACCAGGCTCTGCCTATGTGGCGTGGTGGTGAGACCAAAAAGTAGGGGAGGTGTGAAAACCTTGCATTTGGCGCACAGCTGCAGATTGTGCTGCATTTTATAAACAAACCAAACTTAATGCGTGCAAGCGGCTGGGGTCGCTAGGGTTCTTGGGGTTGGAGGTACCTAGCGCCCTTGCTCTGTGCATACATGACATGATTCAGATGTAGGTGAAGCAGGGCATAGCCATAGGTGTCCAGGTTCTGCGGAGCCTCGTTTATGCTTGGTGGTTTCAAGTGAGCTCGGTTTTGGATGACATGTGAAAACCTCAGAAAGGGAAATAGGAGTTTGGCATGTACGATTAGACAACATCAGGCAGGAGTGAAAAATTCACATAAAATATGGGGAAAAGGAGTGAAAAATTCCTCCTCATAGGGTGTTGTTTACACCCAAAGTCGACAATTCTGGGACACTGCTTAACGGATAACGCAGTGGTACCGTAAACAATTCCAACACAGGCAAGAATTTTGAATCTTGTGAAATTTGACGACTTTTGACCAGACCTAGGGTCACGATATTTGTAATTGCAACAGGGTATCGGATATTGGGCATCCCGTGGGGAAGGTTTCACAGTAATCGGTCAAGTACGCCTCTGAGTTCTGAGTCGTCTGCATTTGCGTGCAAAATTTTCCATTCACATTTTCGTCACGTTTGACCGCGGGTCAGGTCTCGATATTACTTCCCCATCACTCACCACAATGCACAGAATCGATTGGTGAGGGTTTCAAGGCGATCGGACGAGCCGTTTCGGAAAACCTGCGTGTATGCGTCATATGCCGGTTTTTTAGACCCTGTCGCTGAACCCAATGCATTACTGCGTGGCAAGCATCTATTTCGAATGGCACGACGCTTTAAAACGCTGCGTGGCAAACTAACTATATTCGTCGCAAGATGTCGCGGCCAGCTGTCATTCTCACTAGTAATACACCTAGTTATTTGGTATTTAGTACTGTTTAGTATGTGAAGTGAACGTTGACTGAAAAATCTGTGAAGAACACTGATCTGAGGGGCACTGGAAAAACACTGCAACAACTGATCCGTGACGCCAGCACCGGTAACTCATAAGTTGTACTATTTTGTTGTCACCTGCTGAAAACTGTCCTGATTAAAGCTACTATGTTTGGCAGCATGTTAAAGCTCATCTTGCTCATATAGCGACACGTCAATGTCTTGACATGCGCTCGACACATGCTTACGTTGCGAGCGTTAGCAAGTACATACCAACCCGTAGCTTTGGGTTTCATCTAGCTAAGATGGTCTGTCGTAATATGTTCTGGTCTGT